GACCCATCTCACCGTCTTTCTGCCCCTCGTTTGCGATGGCTCCAGAACTGAGCAGCTGTGCTTATATATTTAGCGGACTGTGTGTGTGATTCGTGTGAAAGGTGTGTGTACCACAGCAGATGTATGGCTGTCGAAGCACAACTTTGTGGAGTCGGCTTCCCCTTCTGTCTTTATATGGGTTCCGTAAGTCGAACTCAGGTCCACAGCCTTGACCAGCAAGCCTTCATCTATGGGCCCTCTCTCCCTGCAAGCCGTCATCCGAGGGAAGAAAAAGTCACAGAGAGAGCCAACAGTGTGAGCCTGGGAAAAGAATGAAGTACTTCAGTTGCTTTGGCTACTGTAATGACTGGGAGAACAGAGCGCAGGACCTCAGTTTCTTCATTTTGTAAAGTGGAAATAATCTAATGATCTCACTTAGGGGCATTTGTCACCTGCCACGGCTGTGTTTTGTTTCATGCTAATGAGACCATAGCTCACCAATCCTGACTTCTCGAGGATTGCCCAACAAAGGAGTCATTCGTTAACAATGCTATTTAAATTGAAACTTTAGTTTCTTGAGCTGTGTTGAATAGCACACATGGTTAGTGTTCTCATTGTTCAGGAAATTCTACTGACTGGCTGTGGTTGACACATCATCCCTATGATGCTCTGGAAAGCCAGCGCGCACTGCACACATACATGCTAAACCTTCCGCAATGGACTTTCCCCTCCCATGGACAAATTACATGACTGAGCTCTGTTCTTGGCAATGAGAAAAAGCCACCTTCTATCCATTAATATACTACTGTTCACATTCTTTCCCAAGAATTTTTAAAAAAACAAAACAGGATTTATATTCATTGCCTATGTTATTATTGAATACTCATTCCCACTCAAACTTGAAAAGTTGAGTTTTTCCATAACGTCATAACGTGTCTTTTATCCTTTTATCCTCTGTCTCTTAGTTTATTTTTTAGTGAGTGTGGTGCTGGTGATCCAGTCAGGACCTTGGGTCACTGTCCAAGTGCGGTAACACAGTCTTAGAGCCCTGCCCCAGATAGATGATTTTAGATAAGAAGCTGACTCATCTAAATTACAACTAAAAGAAAGTTGAGCCCTTAATCTGGCAAAGTCCCCATACATTAGACCTTTGATTGAGCCAATTGCAGGGAGTGGCCAAACACCTGTGGTTACCTGGCAACACAGTGCCTTTCACCCTTATCTAAATGAGGAAATTCTGCCTGAATCTTATATATGAGGTTTATGTTAACCTTTCTTTAGGGACCAAGAGTATCCATTTCCTTTTGCCTTGAGAAATATCAAAAAAGAATAGAATTCTCTCGGTGTTAGTTAGCTTCCATCGCTGTAACAAAATACCTCAGACAACCAGCTCGTGAAGAGGAAAGGTCTATTTCGGCTCACAGCTACTGGTCTCCTCACCCCATTGCTTCTTTGGCTGATAATGAGACCCAACGTCATGGTGGGAGTGTGTTGTGAAGCAAACTTAGCCTGTGATGATGAGGGAGGCAAACAGAAAGGTGGGGGGCGGGGTCTAATATCTTGTTCAGATAATATCTTTTAAGAGGCAAAGCTTCTACTGGGAAGGGCAAAATATTTATATTCAGTTTGGTCTTCCCTTCAAAAGTATGGGCCACTCACTGCTCTTCTTAGACTCTTTTTTTGAAATTCGCAAAACACTGTGATTAGAGTAGACCCCAAAAGTTTCTGTGGGTCTCAGGAGAACTGATTCTCTTCTAGCTTCAAAACTGAATCTTTAGCCTCTGTCTGGTCACAGCCTCCAGTCAGAACGACTTGCCTGAGTAATGCGCTACGGCCTTTTTGTAAGCCACAGTGCATTCGTTAGACAAACGACGGTATTCTGGCTCCCATGAGAAAGCCTCTTCCGCCTACACACATAGCTTGGTGTCTGTTGCTGACTTTCTGTAGATGGCTTGTGGAAGGCAGTGCCCACATCTAGGACTCACGATTTGGAGGTGCAGGGATACAAATGCTATCTTATCCCACTGTGGGATTTACTCGGTTCAATATTAAAATAAAACAGGGAGGGGCATACAATCATCTTCCTATGGGTTCCTCTTAGTGATAAAATAAGTTCAGAATTGCCAAGATAGACATGAGGACTTCAGAGTTTTTCTGGCTCTAAGGGTCTTCTGGGCTGATGCTCTGGGAAACTCTGCCATAGAGAAAACCATGAGCGTGGATTAGTGTCTTTATAATCCGTTTTTATTTTAAAACACTTGGGCTTTATACTTATATTGGGAGTCAGAAATCTGTGGCTTTGGAGCCTGTCCTGGAACTCACTCTGTAATCTAGGCTGGCCTCGAACTCACAGAGATCCACTTGAGCTGGGAGCAAAGGTGAGCGCCAGCACCGCCCAGCTCCTATTGCCCATTTTATTGACCAGTGGGCAGATTCTGAAGCAGGCATTTTAATGATGGGCTCTTCCCCTGAGGCGGTCACCATTCCTGAAGGTGACTCATTCCACCAAAACCTTAAAAGCAGCACAGTGTTTGCTAAAGGCAAACGCCTAGTCTTGAGCTCTCAGTGGTTTGCTGAGTTTTGCTAAATTGCTTTATTACCAATAAAAACTCGAGAATCAGATATTGAAATAAAAACCTTATAGATCAGAAAACACAGAGAGGAAGCGACCAGCTGACCTTCTCTTTCTTACTGGAGACCAGCCAGTTTCCTGGCTTTCACAGTTCAGACAGCAGTGAATTCCAAGGTCCTCCCTGCTTCCTGTATTCCTGGTTTCCCTAAGGCTAAACTCGGTCACCTAGTCACTGGCCCCGCCCCCTGATTCAGAGTTAAAGTAGTCTAGGAACTTCACAGTGTGGCCTGAGGGCCACATCTGGCCTTCCTCTTTTTGGGTGCCTTGGAAAGCTAAGGATGATACTTTCATCTTAAATGGCTGGGGAAAGGTTGTTTTAACATTCCACAGTTGTATGAAGTTCAACTTTGCAGTTATAAATCAGGTGGCACTGGAATACAGCCACACTGTTAAATTATGCTCTATCCTTGCAGACTACCGGGTTATGGGTTATGAGAGCCCAGAAGTTGGTACTGGGAGCTTGTTGTTGGAAACCATTTACCACCCTGGCCCTTTTAGGGGGCCCCCCCCCCCCCCAGCAGAGGCAGAGTACCTGAAACCACAGCCCAGCTCTGAGATCATTTCCTCCTTTTTCTTCCTTGACTGCACAATGAAATCACCAATTGTAATTTAGCTGCAGTGGGAGGCGGCCTTGACTATTGCACCTGTCCCCCAGGATTTGATTGATTGATTGATTGATTGATTGATTGATTTTATTTTATTTTAGGTTTTGAGACAGGGTTTCTCTGTAGCTTTGGAACCTGTCCTAGAACTCACTCTTCTAGACCAGGCTGGCCTTGAACTCACAGAAATCCACTAATCTGCCTGCCTCTGCCTCCTGAGGGCTGGGATTAAAAGCATGCGCCACCACTGTCCAGCTGCCCCAGGATTTTATGAGGACCAACACAAATAGGTAAAATGCTTTTAAAAGTCTGACACTCAATAATTACTTTACATATACATATACAATGTGTTGCCTCATTTTTTTCCTGAACCCAAAGCAGCAGGGGCTTATTAATGCTGACAATCATTGTAAGAATTTATGGCACTCCACTAAAATTCACTTCTTAAGGGAGAGGGAGTAAGTGTCTAATGACTCCTAATATAACAATTAGTAGAGTCACTTGTCCATAAAACGAATCCTGTATTAGCTATAAATATTTTATTAGGGACGCATTTTTTGTTTGTTTGGTTTTCAGGCTTGAGCCCTGAAAGAGCTTAAACTCAAATGTGAGCTCAGCCCTGACCATCTAGCTGAATAAAGTTCCCAAACAAAGCCTCAGAACGTCTAATCCACCCGGACGGACTTCCGTGGTAGCTGAAAACAGTAATTTTACCTCCGGAATCAGACACAAAAAAGCCACACGTCATGCTTTTGCCATGTGACAACGAGGACTATTAGAATTTTCGCCACTATTCAGAACTTCTGGGGTTTTTTGGAGTTCACGTATCTAAAACGGGGAGGCGAGAGGTGCTGATGCCTTACCGCTGATTCAAGCCATGGTCTCACACTATAGTCAACCCTATTCATTGAAGTCTTTCTCAAAATGGCAAAATCAAAAAAACAGGCGGGCATGAGACCCAGCAGGCAAGGAGATCTGGGCTCGCCTGAGAGCCCGGTCCCCAGAGGGAAAGAGTGAGAGCAAACCACAGAACTGCTCTGTGCAGTCCTTAGCAGTCAAGGGGGAGCCAACGATTTTCTCGTGGTTCAGTTATACTAAAAAGCAAAAAGAAAACTGTGTGAAGAATTTTCTGAACAATCCAAACGAGTTACATATCCCTTCCAGTAGTGTTCACGAGAACAGTTGTTTCTTTTTGAATCATCCAGAAAATACACCAATTCAATTTTCTACGAGTGATCTGGGTGAGGCTGTCAAGCCTAGAAAATGTGCCCTTCTCCTACCCCACTCCACCCACTTCGCAATCGCACCAGCTACACCCAGCTTAACAGTTGGCAAAGAAACACGCCACCCTCATTCAGAGCTAAATTCCCCCTGCATAGTTCTGAAGTTTCGTCCGGTTTTCAAAGGTGTTTTTCTATTTTGATTTTAAAGTGTCTCTTTCATTCATTATTGAGTTGCTCTTCAACTTTTCCCCTACAATATTGCACAGCGCTCTTATCCCACCCCAACCGGGGTAAAATAACAAATGTACCACAAAATAGCACAGTAAGAAGAAGGAGGGGAGAAAAAACACCCAGGGCGGTGCATGAATGTCGGAATGTGCCACTAGGCCGAGAGGGGAACGGGTCCTGGAGTGTACCGCGTCTGGGGCCCTGGTCACCGTCGGACCGAGGGTCGCGCAGGCGCTTGCCCAGCTCGGAGGCAGCAGAGAGCTGGCGGCGCGCGGGGTGGCACGGAGCGGTCAGGAGTGGGTGGCGGCGGGAGGTGTCCCCCATGGGGCGGCGTGGTGCGCTCCGGGGCGGCTCCGGACGGGCAGAAGGGCGGGCGGAACAGCAGACGTGCAGGGCGGAGGCGCAGTCTGCACCATGGCGTACCCGGGGCACCCTGGCGCCGGCGGCGGGTACTACCCAGGCGGGGTAAGTGCAGAGCGCGGGCTCCGCAGCCTTGATGCTCCTGGGCGAGAGGGCGTCACGGACTCTCGGGAGGAGGCGCTGCCGGGGCGGGGGGATCCCAGTCCCAGATGCTCCCGGCGCGTACGCCTGGCCCCTGATGTCCATCCTCGGCCCCACTGCATTCTTCTGTCCCTATCTTCCTAGGGGCTCTCTTGGGACAACGGGTGGGTGGTTGCGACCCGGGAAGCCCACTCGGTAACTTGGAAATGTGGCGTGAGATAGTGCAGACTGTGTGTTCACTTCCTGCTTTCTCTCGAATGCCCCCAAAGCAACAACAGCCATCTTGATCTAGCACAGTCCTGTGGTCACTCTCTTGAACAAAAAGTGACAGGGAGACCAAAAAGTCTAGAGAAATGAACTGGAGCCCTAGAGAAAGACCACCTCGCCAGGTGTTAGGGATGTACTGTCAGAGACAGAGGACCCTCATCTGAGATACAGCGGTGCCATCCTGCTTCCTCCCAGGCCACACCTGTCAACCCTGTACCAATTCCAGCCTCACTTAGTACTTCAAACGCTTTTAAAACATCGTTTAAAAAAGAAAAAAGAAAAAAAAAAGCAACAGGAAAACCGTCCCGAGCCTTGCTTCGGTTACATTCACCTATGCAACCTCCTAGTTGATAGTTTATGTGGCTTCGCATATAGTGGCATCGCTTTCATGGGAGTCTTATTTTGGACCAACTCGCCCGCTTTTAAAGATCAGTGGAGCGGGGATGGAAGAGCAGGGTGGGCCACTGTGCTGGAGTGTGAGGTCGTGGGGAGGGAGATCCTGTGCTGCAAAATTGTGCAAAATTGTGCATGGTGACAGAACAAACTAGATTCGGTTCTGATGCTTTTGCGTTTCCTTTAAGCAGTATGGAGGGGCTCCTGGAGGGCCAGCGTTCCCCGGACAAACTCAGGATCCGCTCTACGGTTACTTCGCTGCTGTGGCTGGACAGGTTAGACCTTCCTTTGAATACTGAAGCATTGTTACATCTGTTTGTGTTGTCATTCAGTGCAGTGGCAGCTAAACGAACTTCACCATGGAAATGAATCCCTTTGCCTGGGCCAAAGAAGGAAAAGGAAAGGAAAGCAAAAACCTTCTTATTTTAGTCCTGAACGAAGTTGGACAGAGAACATCTGTATTCATGCTAGATCAGTTCACAACTCACCTTGTGACTGAACGAGGGTTCGGTTGAACCAAAGGGGGGGTTATAGACATACTTTGGAGACCTATAAAGTAGAAAGATGCCTGTAGAACCATATAGAGTAAAGTTGCATTCGGGGGGAAGAAATTCAAGTTCTGAACATAAAACCTCTGTTTGTCCAACCTAAAGACGTGTCTTAGTAATTTTGTAGCCTAATTATGATATCTACTTTCAGTTGGAGTTGATAATTAGCCATGTTCTCCCTTAGGAGGCAGAGAAGTGTAAAGAGCCACAGGCTTCCGGGAAGGAGAGTTACTGTCTGTATTTGGAAGGTGACCTCTCTCCCTACTGTAGATGATCTTCCCCTGCTAACATGTCTATCCTTATTAAGTATGTGGCCTGCTGACCCAGAGAAAGAGTCAGGACAAGTAGTCAAGTCCTGAGTCCCACTTCCCTCCCTGTGTGACAGTCTAGGCTGCTGGGAGGAAGGACAGTTGCTGGGGCCAGCGTGTCAGGTCACTCTGTGTTTGGTAAATGTACCCTTGACGTCATCCAAGTGTGTCCAGAAGGGATGCTTATCCCTGCCTGTTCACCTTAGACTTGTTTTAACAACAAGAGCCAGAAAGAATGGAATCAAGATCTGGTAAAAAAAAAAAAAAAAAAGAAAAAAAATGCTGTAGATGTGGTAGAATATGGTAAGCAAAACCCTCAGGCCGCCTCTGAAAGTGGTACTCTAAGAAACACAGCGCTGAGAATTTGAATGGAAAATTGAGTCAAAGGCTGGGAGACTTTCTTCTCGAGTATCTACTTAATCTGTTATTGATCTGTGTCTTTGAAACCACAAGACATAGCACACCTCAAGCCCAGCTTTCTTAGATTGCTGTTGTCTCCAGCGTGTAAGTGACCCCGCCTGCTTGGCTTTCAGCAGCCCTGGCCTCTATTCCACACATTCGTCATTAGTAATTCCAAATTATTGTTCCTTATTTATAACATAATGGCTCTTGCCAACTTAGATTTATGTGTTTTATTTAAAATTCTTAAAAATGAGACAGTTTTGACCTCCGTCAGCCAATAAGAAGGTCCGAGCCTGCCATACGTACCATATGTCTTCTGCATACAATTGTGCTCAGAAAACACTGTCTCCTACGCCATAAGCTGGTTCAAGAGTGAGCTTTTTTTTTCCCCTTGAGCCAGGCCTTGTATTTATTGATGCCTGGAAGGTCTACTTTATACCCTTCTTCCTCTCTCTCTCAAAAAGGGGTTGAAGGATATGTCTTTAAACAATCCCAAACTAATTATATTTATAATGATTAGTTTTGATCATTTTTTTTGGCTCAAACTGAGTAGAGACTGTCCGCTATGACAAATATTTTCTCATCGTCAAATTCTTTTTGGAATTAGGGTACGGTAGGGAGAAGAGTGCCCCATTTTGAAAGGCATTTCTTTTAAAAATGCTACATATAATCATTTTCTCTTGCCCTTGTCTAAGGACTTGTAACTACAGCTCACCGTGTTTCTCCGCTTCCTGTTTTTTGTCTGTTTGTTTATAAGGACGGACAAATTGACGCCGATGAACTGCAGAAATGTCTGACGCAGTCTGGCATTGCCGGAGGATACAAACGTAAGCTCATGGCCCCAGAGTCTTCTAACCATACCCGCTTCTCTGTACTTCAGCTGTGAACTGTGATTGTTCCTTTAAAGAAATCAAACTTTTCTGCTCCACCACACTACTGGTTTTTGTTTTGTTTTGTTTTGTTTTGCATGTGAATTGAGCATAGTTTCTAAGTCGCTAGTCTACCAGACAGGTTAGTGGATTTCTTGGATTTGAGTTCCCTGTGTACAGAAGCCATTCAAACCAGTGGTATAGTTCGGGTGGCCCCCCTGACAGAGAACAAGTCAGGGTGCTGAAATGGAATCCGCCAGATCCGGTATCGTTAATGATAAGTTCTAACAGGTACCATTGACCATTTGCCAAGTGCTTATTCTGTCCTAACTTTGAAGGCATGGAGAGTGGCCAGACCTATAGTCTGATCTCTGGGCCCTTGGCTTGCTACTTGTCAATACAAACGCTTGCTGGCTGTGACATTCCACCTGAGAAGATGTGTTCCTGCGGAGGTCACCTCTTACTAGCCCTTCTGCTCCTTCCTCCATCTTTGCAGACTGGTGTGCAGCACAGTTACCCAGCACAGTCCCACTGTGCCCCTGTCAGTACTGTGCTCCGAGCTGCACATAGAAGGAAACATGGCAGAGATCCTGCATCCTGGTCAGGGTTTATCGTCTCACACTCTGCTGCGTTCTTCTGTTTTCCTTAGAATCTAGCCTTGACCACGCGAAGTTTCTAGGACAAGTAAGAGTGACTTAGCTCAAGTGTGCTCCCTTCTCACTTCTTTTCCACTTGTGAATTAGTCATGACATCAAACTGACACCTCCACTTCCTAGGAAGCTGTAAGTTAGAAGGTTCCAGCTAGAATTCGCAGCTAAGCATTTGCGGGGCCTCGTCAGCTGCTTGAGGCACTGTGCTGGTTAGATGGCCATCTTTAAAACACCCATGTTTCCGTTGTTCCCTGGTCTTATGTGACACTGTGCTGGCTAGATGGCCATCTTTAAAACACTCCTGTTTCCGTTGTTCCCTGTCTTGTGTGACGTCAGTGTCCTATTGCTGTTCCCTGGCTGGGAAATTAATTCAAAAGGAAAGGACCTTTCAAATTTCTGTCATTTTAATTTGGTCCTAAACAAGAGAAGCCCTTTCTAGGGGAGGGGAACTGAACTGTGAGTATTGTATCTAAGCTGTTAATTTTTAACCTCGGGCAGTTGAGGTAAAGGAGGAAGATCTAATGGAGTTTACCCAGTGTGGTGTCTTATCAGTCTGCAGCCTTTCTAAGTAGAAGAGATGCACCAGATTCTAAACAGACTAAAGTGCACTGTAGCCTTAAAGAGCCTTAGAGCGCAGTTCCTGCGGGACTCCATTCTGAGGGCTGGTGAGATGCCTCAGCTGGGCTTTGCCACCAAGACTGATGACCTGAGTTCAAACCCTGGTTCTGCACCAACTCCTGAAAGTTGTCCTCTGATTCTGACACACACCTTACACCCCACCGCACACAGCAAACAAATAATTGTAATAATACATTTTAAAATTTTTATTTGAAAGTCCATGTTGTGATGGCCTTAAACCAATGCATGATAAGAAGACAGTTCCCGAAATGCAAGGTCCATGTGATCTAGTCAATTAGTTAGATGCCACCCAATTTCTGGGCTGCCAAGAGTTCTGAAGTACAGAAACCCTACAGCCAGCCGTCTTTTTAGACCCCGATTCCAAGTCATCGCCCACAGACTTGGAGTGGATGGGGGCATCTGGGTTACTCCAGACAAGAAGCAGCCATCCCTAGAGGGGTCTTGGTGGGGCTTGTTCCGGTCTCCACAGCAGAGATTCTGCTTCTCCTTCCCTTGAATTTGGTTCCTCTGTAAGCAGCTTGACAGACGCAGGCAGAGGAGGCTTTCTTCCTTTCTAGGCCGTCTGCATTGCTTCTACAGCATGAAAAGATGGCGGGGGCATTGCAGAAGCAAGCAACAGCCAAGCACCCCCCCCCCCCGCCGCCGCTCAACCGTCGCACAGAGGAACCAAATTCAAGGGAAGGAGAAGCAGAATCTCTGCTGTG